CAGTGACGTGGTTGAAATCTTGTTTCCAGAACACAAAAAACTGAAATAAGCGGTATCAGACGTCCAACTGTCCCGCCACACTGTTAAACGCAGAATATCGGACATTAACACCGCCATTGAAGCGCAGTTACACTCTGATCTTCAAACATGTGAGTTTTTCAGTGTGGCATTGGATGAGTCTTGTGACATACAAGACAAGCCTCAGCTGGCAATATTTGCACGATCAGTCTCAAAGGATTGTGTTGTAAAAGAAGAACTCCTTGATATTGTGATATTAAAAGACAGAACCCATGGCATCGATGTAAAAGAAACAATGATACATGTGTTTGTGAAAGTAAATGTGCCCAAGCAGAAACTAACTGCAATAGCCACAGATGGAGCGCCATCTATGGTCGGATCTGTGAACAGGCTTGTGGGGCTGTGCAAAGCTGACAACACATTTCCCGAGTTTTGGAATTTCCACTGCATCATTCACCGGGAGCAACTTGTGTCCAAATCACTGAATTTAGACAACGTCATGAAGCCTGTGATGGAAATCGTAAACTACATCCGCACACATGCTCTTAACCACAGGCAATTTAAGAATCTCATCGCTGAACTCGACCAAGGGCTTCCAGGAGACCTGCCGCTGCACTGCACTGTGAGGTGGCTTTCTAAAGGCAAAGTGCTGTCTCGCTTCTTTGAGCTGTTGGATGCTGTGAAACTGTTCATGGAACAGAAGGACAAGGATTATCCGGAGCTCTCAGACCCCAAGTGGATTATGGATCTGGCCTTTTTGGTCGACATGCTGTGTCATCTGGACAGACTGAACCTGGATCTGCAGGGAAAGTTAAAAATACTGCCTGACTTAGTGCAAAGTGTATTTGCGTTTGTTAACAAACTGAAACTGTTTAAGACACATTTTAAAAAGGGAGAATTAGCGCATTTCCCCTCTCTGCTAAAAGCAAGCGCACAAGCCACCGGTGCCACCCGGAAAAAGCAAACAGCCCGTTATGCAACATTGGTTGAAACCCTGCAGGAAAGCTTTGCGACCCGGTTCCATGATCTACATGTGAAAAGGCCACAGATTACGTTCCTCGTCGATCCTTTTAATGCTGAGACGGACTGTTTGAAAGCCCCGCTAGTCAAGGACGAGGTGGTGGCCGAGTTGGAGATGATCGAACTTTCAGAGGATGACCGACTGAAACCTGTTCTGAGGGAAGGGACCCTTGAGTTCTGGAAAACTGTGCCAATCGAAAAATACCCCAATGTCAAACGGGCTGTGCTCAAGCTACTTTCAATGTTTGGGTCAACATACGTCTGTGAGTCTGTGTTTTCTACCCTGAAACACGTGAAATCTAAGCATCGATCTGTTCTGACTGACACACATGTGAGAGAATTGCTTCGAGTGGCCACAACGGAATACAAGCCAGATTTGAGGAGGATTGTTCAAAGCAAGGAATATCAGAAGTCCCACTAATTTAAAGTAAGATAAAAAACCTTTTCAATTTTGTTTACTGAGAGTTTGTGTGTGACTGCACACAATGTTCATTGTTATGTTTTTATGTTAACTGGTCTCTGAATACTGGGGCCTGTACTACGAAGCTGGTTCAACCTAAGCTGGATATGTTTGAGTTAGCCGGTTGGCCTAATCTAAAACATACGCGCTCTCGCTAAACGGTCCTACATCGCTGGTTATCAAGTGGATCGCTCAAGCCAGCCGTGTCCTATCTAGTTAGGTGCGCGTTCACATGAAAGGGGTGGTATCTGGAGCATTCGACCAATCACAAACATGGAGAAGCATACTGACAGCGCAGCGTCATACTTCCTGAATGAAAAGTGAACTATAATATTAGTCAAAAATGAAGAAGTTAAACTTTAAACATCCATAACTCAAACACTTGATCCAGGATCAAAGCCACAGAGCTGCACCTGCAAGGTGAATACAGCTGGTAACAGAACAAGTGTTTGAATGCGTACATTAACAGGTTTATGATATCACTGCCCCGTCTAAAACATGATCTGACTTTCATTACATTTGACTCGAGTGTTTCGTCAACTTAATGTGTTGCTTACAGTGGCGAGCTGTTACTTTTATACCTAGGCCCTCTGACCCCCGCTTCCCTCGTAAAAAAAAGAAGAGATATTACGTCTCAACGTAGACTTCAGCGGAATATCAAAACAGTGGTCCGGGGTGCAAAACGCATCAATGACAGCGATCCTCTACCACACAAAACATCATTTATATAAACACCTATCATGACAGGGCACCCACAGCCAAGTAGCAATTACAAATGAATTAAGTCGGCACGGCGGCCCACATTGAAAATGACTTAGGCCTACCTTTGATGATCAAATCACTTAAACACAAAGTCCATTTGTCCTTTTGGATGAAGCACTTGCGGGTCATTCAGCTGATCCTTTGCGACACTAGAGTTTATCATTGTAACTCAATCTTGAAAATGACTGTTAATAATTTCGCAACGATGTCATCACTATCACTGAAGTGAGCCATCATGAACGAACTTATGCTAATCATAAATCTATCAAAAATAATAAAAGTAGGATAGACATGTGGATATTATCCGGCTGAACAAAACGTGCATTTATCAAACAGGTTCGTTTTCCACAGACCTTATTTCGAGCTATTTTCCAAAATCCTATGGAGAAATCCCATTGCTTTCAGTCGAGGGAATCCGAGTGAAGCTTACTTCCGGGTTATAGGATGCGTCACTGCACCACTTGCATAGACCTCACAGCGGGCGGTACCTGTCATAAAGTCCGCGAAAATTAAGCCCGCCCATTTAGAGGGAAGATATGATTGGTCAATTGTACTGTCATTTGACATTACTCTCTCGTTGAGTTACTATAGCTGGCCCTCTGTGAATGTAGAGAGGGACCAACAAGCTCTCCCGTCTTCACATAACTCGCAGAGACGGCATTTAACCCTTCACATTCCAACAGAAACTGAACAGGCAGATTCGAAGGATTTATTTCTTTGGAAATATTATTTTAAATACAATTAAATCAAGTTATTTTGGTAAAATTAATGAAAAATGTAACAACAAAAAAATATAAAAAATAATATTTAAAAAAAAAAAAGTTTTTTCTAATGTTTTCAAATATTATTTTTTAGAATATCTTAGGCCCTCACAGAGGACCTAGAGGGCCCTGACGGCTCGCCACTGGTTGCTTAAAATAATACTTCTGCATACAGTATGTGACACTGTGAGTGTTGCACGGCCAGATACGGCTCAGCTGACTCAGATAAGGAGATATATGATACATTATGATGTGATATGCCGCGGACTGTACTTAATGTTACTCTGATCCGGTTACTTATGTTGTGGCAGATATTTAAGTAAGCTTTCTTAACGCTAATGTTATAGGCCTAATAGTCAGATTGCTCTGAAGAAGGAGGTGATATTCTATTAATGTTCACGTTCACACAGTCGGTGATTTATGCCGGCCGTCTTTCCTGCGATGGCAGCTTTTCTTTATTTCCTTTCTCCTGTAATATGACTTGATCGCTTTAAACTCCGCACACTGAGCTCTGATTGGTCAGCAGGCAGTGCTTTCACTGAGTTGAGCTCTTAGCCTGCAACCTAACCTGGTCCCGACCAGGTTAGCCGCTAAGCATAAGTTACCATGGAGATATAGCCTGCTAAAAAGAGAACCAGCTTCGTAGGACCGGAAAGCCGGAGTTTTCCCTGAATTTAGCCGGCTAAGCGAAAATCCTGCTTCGTAGTACACCCCCCTGGTAGGAGAGGTTTGATTCCAGTTCTGTCAATATTATGGTGTGTGACATTTACAATAAATCTGTCTGAGCAGAGCTATGTGTGTCTCTCTGTGTGGGGAGGGTCTTTGAGTGTGTGTGTGTGTGTGTGTGTGTGTGTGTGTGTGTGTGTGTGTGTGTGTGTGTGTGTGTGTGTGTGTGTGTGTGTGTGTGTGTGTGTGTGTGTGTGTGTGTGTGTGTGTGTGTGTGTGTGTGTGTGTGTGTGTGTAAAGTTTTAGATTGTCATTGTATCTGTGTGAGAGAGAGAGGGGAGGAATAAAGTGAAGGAGCACAGAGACAGGCTGAGAACAAAAGAGAGAAGGAGGGGGGGTGCACACGCATCTGTGACTGTGTGTTACTCTTTGCAGTAACATAGTCAAAATGTTGGCTCTTAACCTCTGACTGGTTGGCTACCCCTGATATATAGTTTTACCTTTTCAAAATAGAAACCTATTCAATTAATTTCATTTATTTAAAAGGAATCACAATTTCTGTAAATGTGAACATGCTGGCCAGCATGCTAATATCTATCTATGCCAATCAAAGTTTTGCTTGAAAAGTCAAGTGATTAACTAAATTAAGTAGAAATAACCTGAGAACCCATGATGATCTAAACTTTTAGTAAACTTCAATGTGGTATAAATGAAAGGTGTAGCTCTGTGTTAAATATGAATGGGTTTTTTTCAGAGATTCACACTAGTTTTCACTTTGCTTTGTTATATCACAATTATATTTTTTTCTTAGAACTAGCTAAATATTGGGACTGGGGGAAAGATCTTCAGGATCGGTTTGGCAGGAGCTGTATCACTTTGTTGCTGCAGCAAATGTCTTTCTCCATTCTCTAGCCGTAAATCTTCAGTGTCTGACATCAGTTCAGCTCTCCAGTGTTCTGCTTGTGATCCAGAGGTTCCTTTACACTAGTGTTCAGTAAACAGAAAGGAAGGTAAGGAGGTTTCAGTTCAAGCTGATGTACTCTCTGTGCACACATTATTACATTCTACATTAACAACATGGTGGAGCACATGAGTAATGTTGTGTGCATGAAACCATTCTTCTGTTCTACCCTATTAATGTGTTTTGTTCTCATACTGTACTGTCTGTACAGCTCAATTGCAGTCTCTCTGACACACACACACTCACACACACACACACACACATACACACACACACACACACACACACACACACACACACACACACACACACACACACACACACACACACACACACACACACACACAGTTACCTGTGTAGCCTCCAAGATGAAGTCGTGGATGTTGATCTGTTCCTCGTTGGACAGACAGAGTCGGTCTTTACTGATGAGAGTGACAGTGAATGCCTCACAGTTCATGGCCTCCTCCCGACTGGGCCAGTACACAAACTCATCCTCTGCCTGTAGAAGAGCGCAGGGACCGCCTTTATTTAATCATTGCATGCAAAACATTGTCACAGGGGATGGGATTACTGCAGTATTTATGTGCTTATTGAATAAATAAAGGTTAGTCGTGGGGCAAAGCATTTGGACTGGAATTTCTACTTTGTGTAAATTAATGTTTACATTTGGAGGTATGTGAGAGACTTTGTGGTGTATGTATGTTTGTGTGTGTGTGCATTACACTGCATGGTGAGCTATCTGGGTGCGGCTCTGCCAGAATTATTAATAAAAAAACAAATGCGCTCTACAGACCCACATAAGGTAGAAAAATGGTACGCTCAGAGTGTAAAAAAAGAACGAATACATTCAGTAGCCAGAGCTGGTGTCAGAGCCATCCTGAAAAAGGCATGAATACAGAAATTGAAATTGACCTATGTTTAATCTTCTCCCTCATAAAAGTCAGAGAACGCACGTTAGGCTGCTAACCACATTTACACAAAATGTCACATGTGTAACTGCGGCTCGTGAAAAAGTGTGTGATTCATAATAAATTAGACATTTAAATGCTGGCTTATGGGCAGACAACGCAGGCATGCATATGAGGTCAAAGTGGTAGATTGCCATAGTATTCCTCTATAGTGTGTGTGTGTGTGTGTGTGTGTGTGTGTGTGTGTGTGTGTGTGTGTGTGTGTGTGTGTGTGTGTGTGTGTGTGTGTGTGTGTGTGTGTGTGTGTGTGTGTGTGTGTGTGTGTGTGTGTGTGTGTATGAGTCTGTGTGTGTGTATAAGTCTGTGGGTGTTTTTGTGTTTGTGCTTCCTACCAGTCCCTGGTTGGCAGGCAGCATAACAATAATTTGTGCGTTGTGGTCCCAGATCATTCTCCAGAAGTCTTTTGTGGTATGAGGCAGAGGATGCTGGGTAATGATGAACTCATTGCTCCTGTAGTAACCCTGTAAGAAAAACAGGTTGTCAGAGTTAAACTACATTTATTTGGTTTTAGGTTCTGCTTTAAACAGAATCAACACATAACGTTAACATCACAGTCACACAGCTGATCAGCCGACAGCCCCCTGCGGCTGGGGGTGGTCACCCCTAAAGGACTAACCACAGCTGGGGGGGTTCAATCTGATCTGGGTGAAATGTAGCCCTGCCTTCATCGATGGATAATAAAAGTACATTTACTCCAGTACGGTACCTAAGTACATTTTTGAGGCACGTTTACTTTACCTGAGTATTCTCAGTTTATACCACCATTACGCATTAGAAGTACTTTTAATTTGGGTAATTTAAGTATATTTGGATGCTGATGCTTTTTTATACTTGTACTTATTTTATACTTTTTCCACCACTGCCTGCCTTTGATAGAAAATGGCTGCACTGCTGAGCAGTGAAATAGACTCTACAGGAAGTGACGGCAGTGACGACAGCTGACAACAAAGACATAATAATTACCACATGGCAAACTACCTGCTTTATAGACTCAGGTCATCGGTTGCTCCCAACTTCTTAGTTATGCTTTAAAGGGCACTCCACAATTTGACACACCAAGGTCAGTGAACAAGTCATTTCCCAGCAGGGCCGGACTGGGACAATAAGTCAGGCCGGGAATTATACACCCAGCCAGGCCACTACCAGTTTTATTTGTCAATTTTTACAGCGTTGCTGCCCATAGTGATAGCCCTCTAAATCTACTACCCAAAAATAAACATATGGACATGGGTTACTATTTTAAAAAAAGTGCAAATCTATTTAGGAACCTATGTGAACATATTTTAAGTGGAGGTGGACCTCAAATCCTATAGGGGGGTCCGGGGGCATGCTCCCCCGGTAAGATTTTTTAAAAATGTTGGACTTAAATGCATCAATCTGGTGCATTTTGAGGGGGAAATAAAGAGACTACACCCATATGAAACAGAACTGTATACATTTAAATAATCATAAAAACATGGCCATAACCAATAACATACCATATCCAATATGAAAAAACATTGAAACTTGTTTATTTATTTGTTTTTGGTTCATTTATAGTTGTGAGTGTGTCTGTGCTCCTGAACCAGCCTCACCTGTCTCCCCCTGCTCCTCTTTGAGGCAGCAGCAAAGACTAGTTTTAGCTCTCAACAAGTTTATCTTACCTTTTTTCACCTAGTTAACATTTTTTTTGTATTATTCATGCATATTTTACCAATCACTCCCCCCTCAAATGGAAATATGTGTTTACATAAATGGTGACCAAACCCTTCGAGACCCACAGAGATAACTTAGACTAAGTTAACTATCTAAACACTCGGAGAGTCCTTTACCTCACCTGAGCTGTAGTTATCAGTCTCTCACCCGGCCACACGAGGACGAAAACGGCCGTTTGCGTTACTGTTTAGTGTCATATAGACCATTCGGCCACACGAGGACGACCGAATACGGCACTAAACGACTGAGGAAACGATAACGGGTCCCAAGGTGGATAGAATGGCATACGCAACGCTCTGGGGGGTCCAACGGCTCCGTGTGTGCGCCCTATACGATCATTTTCTGATAATGATTGCGCAATAGCCCCGCCTCTCCCCACCTCTGCTGCTCACCTCCGCGTACCCCGCACCATTGCTGATGTGTTCCGCCACCAACAACAACAACAATGGCGGATCGCAGAGTTGCTATCGTGCTCCGGACGCTACTGACCATGCTACAGTTCTTTGTGCAACATCTACAGCAGACTTACACATCCGGGGGGGATCTTACTCGCTGCTTTTGTGGATATGTACTGCAGCTTCAGCGATCATTTTCTGATAATGATTGCGCAATAGCCCCGCCTCTCCCCACCTCTGCTGCTCACCCCCGCGTCAAAGTAAACTGCACACTGAATTCAGATTATTTATCTTTCTCTCGATATGGACATAAACGCGAGTGAAGTCTAATCTGACAGGACGGAGACACCTCTCAAACTACCTAAACTAGTTATAAATATGTTTATTTTTACTGTCGGCCGGGTCACTCATTACTGGATCAGCTGCTGCATGAGACAGACACTGGCGCTGTCCGAAGAGAGGGAGGAAAAAGAGAAGCTCCGTGTATTTATATTATTATATTATATAGAGTCATTATTCATTTGTTTTAAAGCTCAATAAATAACAAAGAAGACCTTTGACCGGCACTTTTATAATTTTGTCGGAAGATTTAAACTTTAATACACGTTGACTGGCGAAAAACTCTGCCCGGTTCCCTCGGCCCCCACCGCGGAGAATAAACAGAAGGGCAACCATGACAACCATGCTTCTTCGCTGCTTTTGTGGAGGAAGTTACAGCGCCACGTACAGGCTCCTGCATATGTACTGCAGCTTCTCCAGCGGTTGGAGCTAAACGGAGCAGTCTCGTGTGGGCAGACACTATCCGGATAACTATTGCGTGTGGACGGAAGCTTGTTTGCGATTGCGTTTGCGTTAATCCTATGCGTTTAGCCGTTTTCGTCCTCGTGTGGCCGGGGTCTTAGTCTGACAGGAGAGGACTCTCCTCCACCTTGTTGTTGAAAAAGCTCCTTATATCCATTTGCGCAGCTAGCTAGCACCAGATGCTAACAACAATACACGTAACCGGTGCGCACGCTTTATCGCGCCACACTAACACACACCCTCCCGAGCTTGAATGACACACAGACCAATCGAGGGCATTAGTATGATCTGTATGAAAGTGGCCATGTCGGCAGGCCACATCATGTATACAGCCAGTCACCCTCTGTGAGGCAGAGTCAGACCCACATTTGCGCAGCGTTGCGTTCACAATACATACATTAAAAAAAAAAAATCTCAGGCCACTTAACAGGCCAGGCCATCGGGAAACCTCCCGGTCCTCCCGATGGCCAGTCCGGGCCTGTTTCCCAGCCTGGTACATAATGAATTTTGCCATTCTAGTTTTTCATTAACTTTGAGAAAATTGCTCAACAACATCATCTGGGTTATCTCGGACAGGCTTAAGACTTCAACATTTTAATAGAACGCTTGTATTACAGGGCAGTATTGGTCTCCATGGTTACTAGAGAACCAAGACTTGAACATAAGTTGTTGATGTGAAATCGGTGTATGGATGTGTGTAATAAGTTAACTCAGTGTAAGAGTCAGCATGTCTCTGGCTCTGCTGCTTGATGTCGAACAGTATTTTCTAAATCTGTCTTTTGCAAGACTTCTGGAGAACCCTGAAAAAGGTTTCTGAAAGTATCTGATTTAGTTAAATCTCCATATTCCTGTTAAGCCAATGTCAACATGAGCAGCGAGAAAATGTGTACATCACGATTACAAAATCACAGACAGTGATTCTGAATGAGTGAGTTTTGACCTTATGACATGTGACCTGTGACCGTGTGTGACCATGTGACCTCTATCATTTTTCCAACCCAGTTTAGACTCCACCACGCCACAATAGAAAAGTGGATATCAGTACAGCGTAGGCCATGGTGAAATCGTTACAGCGGTCTTGGGCAAATGGAATATTTGTTAACCTCTGACAGTGTTAGAAAGTAACAAAGTACATATACTCAAATACTGGCTACATTTAGTTTGCTGGTTTATTCTTCTTAAATATACGGTGAATTCTTATTTTTATATTAAAAAGTGCTATGTTTATCAATCTAATCTGAAAAAGCTGCTCTATGAAGCGCCTGTAACTGTCAAATTCATATTTCGTGGGATGAAAACTCCAAGGCTGACGCTCTGACGCTGCGTCGATGATAGTCGTGGTTGAATCTCTACTGGGTTGGAAAAACAATAGAGACTGCTCCGTAAAAGCATGGAGGAGACACTGGAGGATCAATGATTGACAGGAGAAGGGAAAGTGCTCACCATGATGTAGGAGGCGTTAATGTAGTCAGTGTCTTTAGTGCCGGGCAGAGGTGCCAGGCCGACCCTTGCTCGTTCCGCTGCTCACAGATACACAGAGAGAGAGGGAGGGGGGAGCCATTTAGCAGTTTATTAGAACAGAGCAATCATGCTGAAAGGACAGTATGTGTGCATTCATTCATCCTAATGCTGATGGTTGGGAGTAAACAGTTCTTGGTAATGCTTGACTGGTGATTGAGAGAAGTATTACAGTGTGTGAAACAGCTGCAGATCACACACAGCAGCTGAGTAATGATAATGAGAGCAGACAGCGTGTACATATCAGAGGGGCCATATTCAGCTACAGTTTGAAAGGCTATTATGGAAATGCGTTAACTATGCTGAACACGGAGTTGTTTTAAAACTGATCGCAACAACATTTATAAGGGCATTCAAAATAGAACAAAAACTTTTTTAAATGAGATCGATTGTGTAATTGGTATGATTTACAGTATTGTTAAAGTACAGGAATTTATACAACAAGTTTTAGTCATGGTTAGCTATAGTGGTTTATGTTAAATGTGAAGATGAGCTGTTAGCAAAGAGTTAGGAAAAATAAGCTTTTCCTGAAAATACCATATAGCATGAAGCGCAAATCATAGACAGCTAACATAACTTAACATGAATGACGACGATAAAAATGATATATCTCTATGAAACAGCACATAAATACAATTCAATAATAAAATGATCTTCTTTAATGCAGAAGGTGTAATAGTGATCAGTGAATGATGCGACTAGTCTCTTATTGCACCTGTCTTTATGGTTTGGTTATTACTGGAGGAGGGTTCACTTCAAATATAGTATTTGTTTAACATGAGTGTAACACTTACATGGCACCACAGAGGAATTTCGATTTCTTCTCTTTGTTGCACTCCTTCTGAGCGTTGAAGCATTCCATGAATCGGTCATTACACTGTGTTATCAACTAAAAGACAAAAGAAGAACAGTTACACTTTTAAACATTTTAATGACAGACCACCTCACAGTTAGGAAGTGATTTCATTTAAAGAACTCTGGGATTTGGTGAAATATGCCTTGTTCACTGTGTCAGTAACCATTTCACTCTTAGTGGTTCAGTCTCAGTTAACATACTAGCATACGATTATTCCAAAGCTAATAGAATAGTTCTAAAGAAAAGCTGAAGGTAACACAGAAAGCAGCTAAGAGCAGAACAATCCCAAACTAGCTGAAGCAGTTGGGAAACAAGCAAAAAGACCAGAAGAAAAACAAAAGCTCTACAAACAATGACTACATTCAGAAGAAGTCATTGGCTTAATCCTAACCTTGTCAGGGAGGCATGAAGCATTCCCATAACAAAGAAAGCTATTGTAAGAAATTAAAATCAATGTTGATATGGTGTAATTTAAATGAAATACAGGGTTTTAATTTAAAGCAGTTTTATTCTGAAAAAAACAGAAGTTTACACTAACTATTAACTTAACACTTTTATTCTGAAAATTCTTCATTTCCGGTTAGCATTAGCATGTGGCTAACGTTTTGAAACCGTGAATTGAAGGTGAAATGACATGTGATGTTGTACACTAAACACACTGGGGTTAGCACTCATTTATTGACGCTGAAATAACATTTATCAGGGAATGTTTAAATAACCACAGACACCAGAATTATGTAATTTAGCAACAGAAAAAGGCAGGAATTGCATTGGACCCGCCCCCGTCGACGCCGGCCAATAAGAGAAGACTACAGTGGACAACCCGTGAGCCACAGGAAGGATCGGCCCCTTTTTCCTGACCTCGGCTGACCGAAGCACACGCGAGAGGCAACCAGCTGAATGGGGAGAGCGCCTCCATTTTGCAATTTCATTGTATATCACCACATTATTTGTGTAATTAAATGCTGTTAACTTTTATAAGCTTCCCTTGACTCTTTTCAGATGGTCCTGCTCTCAGGGTTCAAGAATTGTATTATTATGTTATTGTTAAGAATTTACTGATTTCAGGGAAACCTACTGTCTTTGTTCTGAAGTATAATCCCCATTATATGAACCCTTTGATATTAAAGGTCCCATGTCATGGCCATTTCTACTGATCATAATTCCATTGTTGAGGTCTACTAAAATAGATTTATATTGTGCAATTTTTCAAACTCACATTGGTTTCTCATACAGCATCTGTGTAAAGTATGTGTATTCACTCTCTGGGTCCTTCTCACTTCGGTTAAATAGATTCCTTCTGTCCCTCACTTGCGTCGTTTCCCTGCGACTAGTCCCTCCTACCAGGGAAGCATGGAGAGACGCAAGGAAACCACGAGAAGCAGGGAAATGAGTTTTAGGCCCATTCCCAAACCGCCCCCTACACCCTACCCCTCCGTTTGCGCGTTCACGCGTAGGGTCCGCCATATTAAGGGATGTCCCAAACCAACGAGTGTGGAGCGGTGTGGAGGGGGAGTGGGCTATCGAGCCCTCAAACAGCGAGTCTGCATCGGTGCTGACTTGAGACCGGTCTCTACCTGACCGGAGTCACGCTGTGTGTGTCCGTCAGGAAACACGCTGTTTACAAGTAGTTCCAGCAAACATCTACTGATAAACTACGATGTTAACAACCTCATGATAGCCTCATATGTTTTTAACTTAGGATCATACCTGTGTTTAGTCTAGAAAAAGGTAAATGTGGGCATGTTATTATAAAGTTGTGTATATTTACAGACCGTTGCAAAAACTAAGAAGCTTATAAACATCAGGTTTAAAACTAAAAGAGCTTTGAAACACAATGAAAGATGTTTGGAGTTTTATTTTAGTTATTCATTTAAACTTTTTGTCAAAGAGATGCTGATTTGAAACCGTTGTTACATACAGTTACGGCATTTCCTGTTTCTACCGAAGAGAGGGGAGGCCGTCCCAAAGCTTGCTGCTGTATTTACTCCCTCCATCTGACAGGAGGGAGACTCGTTGAGCTGCGAGTGTGGCTACAGACGGAGTTCACTCCGTCACGGAGGGGTAGAGTCGAGGGAGTGGTTTGGGATTGGGCCTTAAGAGCAATGGGACGTCCTTTCCTCCGGAGCGTCATGTGAAGCGACGTCCGTTTGTGATGACACTGCACAGCTGATCATCTGACAGCAGCTCTGTCCCCGTTATTTCCACACACACCCCCGCCTCTGTTAGTACACATTTACTGACTCTAACATTTGTATCATCTGTTGGAGACCCAAATAAATAAAATAAAATAAGAACTAATTCTCAAAAAAGATAAACGCCATTCTTAAAATGTATAAACGAACAATAGTTAGATTAATGTTGATTAGAGTGCACAATAGAAATAAAATAATTGAGAGAAGAAAAAGAGATATGTTATCTTTCAAAACCCAGTTAGATTAACATTCATTGGATTGCACACTTTGTGTGTTTGTGTGGATATGTAGCACATTAACATTTTAATAGTACTTAATGACTGACTGAATGGAAATGACAATACATGAAAATGTAAAACGAAAAAAGCGATCAAGAAAATGTTTCCAAAAAATGAATAAAATGATTTTTGACCACTTTGTTGTTCAGATATATCACATATTTGTAACTAAATGAAACATGAATTGAAACAAAACACGGTATAAACTGAGGAGTGACTCCCGTGAGGTTCATGTGCTTTCTTGACTCCGCTGGGAAACGGCTCTCATGTCAAGAAGCATCAGATCAGTGCATGCGTGCATCAGTGAGCGATACACAGTAAGGGGGCGGGGCGAGTGTCTGAGGATTTCATCGAAGGATGGTCTGGTGGTTCCTCGGATATCGCTCCTCCATTATCGCTCCTCTGGCAAAAATATGGCCATTGGGACGCTACACAAGATGGCGCAGACAAATCAACTTCCGGTGAGACCGAGACCGAGGAGCGAGGAAATGAAAAATAAGAGAAGTGAGAAAGGGCCCTAGTCCTAAATGGGTTGTTGGAGCTCCTGCCCCCCCCCCCCCTCCCCCCCTCCCCCCCTCCCCCCCTCCCCATCTCCCCCTCCCTGTGAGCCCAGTGTGCTCTGATTGGTCAGCTCACCCACTCTGTTCTGATGAGTCTACCACCGTTACAGCGTTATCAGTGATTATGTTTTACAATGGCGTTTGTTAGCAACCAGAAAGTGACACCAGTAATGACAAACAGATGAGAAAGCTGCGTGGGGTCTGGGTGCCGTGTTGGCGGGACGTTGCGCGGCTCGCTGCTGAGAGGAGCGGACAGTGTGAGCTTGGTTCATTTCCTGCTTGCTGTATGGGATCTGCGAGACAGTGAGACATCGCGAATGGACGCAGGAAGGGGGGGGGGGGTGGGTGCTGAGGGGGCTGCACTTTCTGCGAGGCTCCACTTTCCAGAGTTTTACTCGCTACAGGGTGTACTTTGAGGGTTTGTGACTTTGCAGACCGTTTACATGCATACAAACCTTCATAACACACAAGGGGACGGGTAATAGCCGGAAAAGCATGACATGGGACCTTTAAGCCTCTTGACACCGTATGCTGATAGTTCAAAGCTAATCATAGTAGGCTAATAAGTTGGTAAGATAATAGTTAGCAGGTAATGCAACCTTACTCAGCAGCAGTTACATTAACGAGGCGAATGCTGAATGAGAGTTTGAAATCACCTTAAACTGTCTCTCCAGATGTGTGCGCACCGCTCCTCCCTGGTTGTCCTGATGTTGTGGAAGTAGCTGTGAAGCTGGCTCGCTGCCACCTCTGTCTCCTTCCCCAGAATGGCTTCCATCAAGGCATCGTGGATGAAGATGTACTGCTCCTGGATCAGCCAAACGTTGAGAAAAAATACCTTTAGAGGCTCGTCTGTTTGACATGCCCAAACCATACGTTTGCATTCCAATAGCAATTTTGAAATAATACAAGTATGAGTTACAGGCCTTTTGGGGATTTTCTTAAGACATGAATGTTCAACAACGAAGAAATGAACTCTCTTTCCTGTGCATACGGTTGAAAAAAGTGATATGATGTATCAGCCAAACCAACCACACATGCATTCCAAACATAACACCCTCCTGAAAGATGCAAGAGGAGTCAGTTAAACTTATATTAACAATGTGTTTACAATGATTGGTCAAACAAAGTCGTTTTGTGCGCTCAAACAGTCCGTCAAAGATGGCCAATAGTAATTTCCTGCATGTGTGACAGTCCAGGCTTCATGCCTTCCAGGTGACTTTCTCCATGTTGGTCCTCGCATGGCCTGTCTTCTAATGAATCGGTCTGGTGAGTTTTTACAAAGATAACTTTTGCAGGGTGTAACGTTTCCATATATTGGGTATGTACATTGATGTTAACCACTGAATACATTCTAAACATGATCCTCTGGCATTTATTCATTACACCTTAATGTGAAACTCTTGGTTACCATAATTAGGCCTGTATTATAAACAGGAAGGATGGATGAAGCATGGGGTACCGGGCAAGCAGAAACCTGTTAGACTTATCTCGGGTAAAGCAGCACTAACAAACATTTCTCATACACACAGAGATACACACCTCAGTCTGGACTAGGTAGTTGCGCTGGGTACGAATGTGTTTGAGGAAGCCAAGAACATTCACTGTGCTCTTGTCTCTGATCTGCCGCAGCATGCTGTCCAGCACCATGTAGGTCCCGGTCCGACCCACTCCAGCACTGCAGCACAAACCAGGCCAAAGACATGGCATATTTATATTCTCATTACGCATTTAATTCACTGTTGTTGTTGTTATTATGTAAGGGTCTACATCAAAGATAAATACCTTTAAATGAAACAAAACAATTGAAAAATAGAAACGTACTTCTTATAAAATATATATTTCCCAAATTGCTATTGAGCAAAACAAAACACAAATGATTGGAAGTCCAGATATAGGAGTGCCCAGTGGCTCACAGTCTTCATGGTGTAATTATCCTGTCACGTCAGACTGTGAATGTTTCAGGATGTTAAAAATGACCATACCTATTTTTGGTCTGCATGCTCTTTCGAAACTTGCTATGCTACTGGAAGTAAATGTTTTATTTTCCCTGCGATATCATAAATGAAGTTAACGGGAGGAAAGTACTCGCCATTTTCATTTCACGCATGTGTGACTGTGCCGTCAAGCTTCCCAGAAGATTTTTCTTTCATTTTGGGCATCCATTATTCTTAAAGACATGGTAGCCTTGTTGGCATGTGTACTCTCACATTGAAATGTAATCAGAATGATGAACACAGACTACTCTCAGATTCAGGGCTTCCTGTTTCCTCCAGAGCAGCAGAGTGAACATGAGTGTGTGTATGTGTTCTGTTTTTGCCTGAGCGGGAGGATGTGTGTGTGTATTTGCCAGTACAAATGGTAATAATGAGTGGTGTGTCTGCAGCCACAGCGCGAGGCAGTGTGACACGTTATTATCGACGCTCACAGACGTTAGCAGAGCGCTTCATACTGAATCCCCCGGTCCACAGTCAACGGACAATTACCAGCAACTTCCCCACCTACCTTACTGTAAAATGCCCTAAATACAAGCTTGCAACTGTGACAGCAGGTTCAATAAAGCTGTTTGGATATGCAGTCGTTGCAAAAGCAAAGCAGGTTAGGTTCATTTGTAATATCTCTGCCTTGAGGCTCTACAAAAAGTGCTTTATTCAAAGTAAATCAAGGATGACATTGATGCCTCTGTTCACAATAATCCAAAAGACCTTAAATTAAAGTGTACAACAACAAAATAAAATAGTCAAAATGACCGCACACACGATGAATAGGGATCAACAGTTAATAACTCTGGTGAAAGATGGATGAGTGGTGGAGGGGGTACAGTCAGTACAGTGGGATGTTAAATCAGTACCTGCAGTGGACCCAGCATGGGTCCCATGTCAGGCAGCTGTGCAGCGGAGGACCTGCGGACAAAGGTGAGGATGGGCAGGGTGTACTCCGGGACCCCCATGTCGGGCCACTGGGTGTAATGATACTGAAACACCGTCCGCTCACTCTGCGCCCGCGCCTTCCCGCTCCCCTTCCCACCCTGCATGGTGATAAGAAGCAAAGAGAGGAGGATGGCATCAAAGCTTTGAACGTATCAAACTGGGAGAGGGACAAAAAAAAGAACAATTACATACGTAACCTCTAAAATATGTTACAGTTTTTGCAATTAATCACAAACCTTTTATTATTATTCAAATATTTGTATTGATTTTCCACATATAACAAACAGCAGCACTCAACATTAAAAAATACAGCACACACAGAAAGTATACAAAATATCAATTGACATCCAGAGGAGATACAAAATATGTATATAGAAAGTAAACGTACACATTGTTTTGCAGGTCACCCTTGAAAAAGAGATCTTTTGATCTCAAGGGGCTTTCACCTGGTTAAATAAAGGCTACAAACACATAAATTATGAAATTAAAAACTACATGGTTAAATAACCAATTGTAAAAATGAAAACATAAATGATTTAAAAACAATGTGGTGGGGTGGGGGGGTTGGCTACGTTATTTCAATGTTAGATAATTCGTTCTCAAAGTAGGGCAGAAATGGTTGCCAGACCTTATAGTACTTTGCGATAGTGCCCCGGGTAGTGTGCTTTAGCTGCTCAAGTTTAAGATGGGACATTACTTCCTCTACCCAGCGCTTGTGAGACGGCGGTGCAGCCTTCTTCCAACTAAAGAGTATCAGACGTCTTGCAAGTAGGGTAGAGAATGCCACAGCCTCAGCCTGATCAGTTGTTATTCGTGTCTCCTCCTATGTGACCACGCCAAATAATGCCGTCAATGGGTTAGCATCCACCACCGTGTTACACATGTACGAAAAGGTTTTTAACTATACCAGTCCAAAAAGGGGGCCAGTTTTGATAGAGCCAAAACATGTGACTTAGGCTGGCCGGGTCCCGACTGCACCTGATGCAGGTTGGGTCTAGACCTGGGTAAAATCTGGACAGTTTACTTGCAGATAGATGTGACCTATGCAGAACCTTAAATTGTAGCAGCCCATGTCTAATGCACATTGAGGATGAGTGGACAAACCGAATGGTTTTTTTTTTTTAACCAGTTTAGCCCTGAGCCTGTTTTCCAGGTCTCAGGCTCGAAAATGACATTCCCAGAACAAATTACTATATCTTCCCTTCTAAAAGGGTTAAATTAATAATCTTTTCTCTCAAAGTAATGATAAACCTGTGAGTTGGATGTAGAAAAGTCAGAATCAATATAGATGTTTTTTATTTTAAAGAAAATTCAGATTGAACATGGTAAAAAACTGTAAATGATAGTGTCCGTCCAAAACATATTTTGTACTTATAGTGAAAACTAACCTTGGATGATGGGTTAGTAGACTAAAAGCTTTAGGAATCCAAAGTACAACATATAATAAGTACCCTGTATCAAGATTGATGCAAAACAAGTGATATTTGACCTTTTTAGACAGATTTAGCAAAAAAACCCTCTTCTGGGGCCATTTGGGTGGATTTTCCTTATCTCTGGCCCCTCTTCTTCGATTTTGACATGTGACATCTCTTTCTGACCGTGAGAGCCAATAGAATCGAAGGGACATCGTCCCGCACACACTCATGTTAAAAAAAGATCGCGTCTTCGCGTGCCCAGTTTTGCTCCAGAGTGAAGCTGTCTCTAGGTCTGACATCTCAAAACCGAAAAGCAGATTTATTGCTCATGGATTATCATAAATCATTCAAAGTGACACAGACACATTGGATTAACCTATGGATTAACTTCAGCATCGTTTTTTATCGTTTTAATGCCATTGAAGACCACTTTTGACCAGACAACGACACAGGTGAGACATTTTGCTGTTTTTAGCTAACTAGCTCCATATGTTTTGATGTCTGTTCTTGTCATTATCTCCGATAATTCGTATAATTGAGTGATATTGAGGGTACCCATCGATTATGTGTCCCCTCACGATGTGAAACGATGGGTTGGATGTGCAGCAAAGATAAATAATAAGGTTTTGTGAGTGAATTTCGGTGCAGTCATCTGTTAGCATTTTTCGCTCGTTGCTAATTCAGAGGCTCAGCGTTAGCATTGTGGTTTTTTTTTGGAAAAAAACGTTTAAATAATCAGTTCGATGAGTTTCTTTCCGTTACATGGATATAAAACATTCATAGTTTATTAAATGAACATGCCCTCAGATGCCCTTTCTGCAAGATATTGCAGGAGGCCCCCATTACCGGGGTCTCTCTGGCTTAACAGGCTAAAAAGATCTTTAACACACCTAATCTCTCTCCCATGCCATAACCGAAAAGATGGATCAGTGACAGATGGAGACAAATTTACATTTGCCAGAATTGGGAAAGCAACAAGTGCCTGTTTGTGTTTGAAATGAATTCTAAACTGAGTCCATATCTTTAGAGAGCCTTGGATGACTGGGTTATTCGTCCAGTAGTTTTTACTCAAGGATAGTTGAGCGCAAATTAAAGAGCAAAGTGACACTGGATTACTTGAATGCTGCTCCATTACAGACCAAACTGGGGATTCGTCCGTCACATCAACCCAAAACATCAGCTTGTGGATGTTGGCAGCCCAATAATAATACAAATAATTGGGTAAGGACAAACCACCCTCCCCCTTTGGCCTTTCAAAATACTCTTTCCTAATTAGAGGTACAGCTTTATTCCAAATGAAAGTGGAAGTGCATTTATTTAATTCCCTAAAGAAGGATTTAGGGATGAAGATTGGGATTGCCTGAAACAGAAATAAGAACCTGGGCATGATCGTCATTTGAACAGAATTAATCCTGCCAGCTAGTGACAGGGCCGACCATCTCTCCATGTCCAGTTTAGCCTTATCAAGCACTATTTTAAAATGATTGTCCATCAGCTATTTGTATTTGTACGTGACACAGACACCTAGGTATGTAAAGTTGATCTGACTGAAATTATGATTTTAAATCTCAAAACCTCTACAGTATCTGTCAGGCAGAAACTTGGGACAAGTAATTTGACTGAAACCTTAAAACTGAACTAACTGGACTGCTAGGGTTAACTTTGATTTAAACATTTGTAGAATACTAAGAGCTTTATTGAGTAGGTGTAACTGTATTAAGGGTTAAACTCATAACTTTATAACTTAGGGTTTAATGTAATTGTAAAACCATTGGGCCACTGAAAATACACAATAACAACTCAGGAGGGAGCCAGTCTAGATTTCCTTTTGAGGGCCACCAGCTGCAGAGAGTTAACTAATTAAAGGGACGTGGCCCCACAGCTGTGAGAACTCAGCAATCAGGTGTCCATTTTAGGTAGCACGTTCCTGGAGCGTCAGACAGACGAAGACTGACAAAGACATTAGAGTCCTGCGGGAGTCACGAGGGAGGCAAATCCTACTTTGATTGAGCTAAGTATCGCTGGTGTTTTATTTTGTTTTTTAGCCCCTCATGCTATAATCATGTGTATTTTCTCCATTCCTGTTTATGTGTCTTCTCGCAATTATCACTGGCCCCGTGTATCTCCTAATCGATATAACCGGCCTGCTCTCGTCTATCCCACATGCTCCACTGAGATCCAAAATCTAGTTTCAGGTGGCCTGTGGAACTGCCAGTCAGCTGTTCCTAAGGCTGACTTCATCTCTGGCTACGCCTCCCTGCAGTCTCTGGATTTCCTTGCTCTTACTGAGACGTGGATTACTCCATCCAACACATCCACCCCAGCAGCTCTCTCCACAGCATATTCCTTCTCCCATACACCCAGACCCACTGGCAGAGGAGGTGGCACTGGTCTCCTGCTCTCTCCCAAATGGAGCTTTTCCCTCTTCAAGCTACCTAATTTCACTCCTTCCACCTTTGAATTCCATGCCGTCACAGTAACCCATCCTATACAATTAACCATTGTTGTTCTCTACCGTCCACCAGGCGCCTTGGGGGACTTCTTGGAGGAATTAGATCATCTCCTCTCACACATCCCTGAAACTGGTCCTCCCGCTGTACTTCTCGGAGACTTCAACCTCCAGACAGGGAAGATAGACGAACTAACATCTCTGTTAACCGCCTTTGCTTTCTCACTGTCTCCTTCCCCACCAACTCATAAAGCTGGCAATGTCCTTGATCTCATATTCTCAAGGAACTACACTACTTCTAACCTCTCTGTAAACCCGCTCCACACATCCGATCACTTCTTCATTTCATTCTCTCTACCCCTTTCCAAACATAACAAACTAATCTCTTCTCATCCTGCACCTGTCCGCCGTAACCTTCGTTCCCCACTCCCCCCTCTACCTTTGCCTCATCGGTGCTCTCAGCCCTCCCTTCATCTGACTCGTTCCAACTCCTGCCTCCAACCTCTGCTGCAGAAACTCTCCTCTCTACTCTCTCATCCTCTCTGGACTCTCTCTGTCCTCTCACATCTCGGCAGGCTCGTCAGTCCCCTCCTGCTCCCTGGCTAAATGATGCACTGCGTGCTAATATAACCGTCCTTAGGGCAGCAGAGCGGAAACGGTGGAAATCCAAACACCATGACGACCTCCTAACGTGCACGGTTGTGGCATGACCACCAAAACAGAAAGATATGGACACAAGATGTGTGCAAATGTATTTAGTTTCCTATCCATGTGGACATGATTTAAGTGGGGGGGGAGGTACCCTCACACCCTATAGGGGGGTCCGGGGGCATGCTCCCCCGGGAAGGTTTGTTTTTAAATGTTGAAGTTAAAAGCATCAATCTGGTGCACTTTGAGAGCAACATTAGGAGATCTATGGATCCATCTCTCAACACACATATGAAACAGAACTGTAAGCAGATTTATTTTTCTTTATGAATATTTAACAAATCACTCGTCAGCTTCTTATATTTGTTAGCATAGCTAGCTAACCATATGCTAATAACAACAAAGTTATTGACTGTATGATCAGTATTACAGGTGAACAGATCGCCACTGGGCTTTCAACTAAAGACACAGCTACGCAAAAAACTGCGGCATGTGTACGGCTCCTTATGGGTGTAATTTGTGAAGTGCCGGAGCGGTGTTCTGGTGCTCTCCGTCAGAACTGCACCCCTGTCAGACGAGACATATACCACGTGATGACACGTTAGGCTCGTGTTGTGTTCAAGGACCCTGATCTTGGCCAGGAAAAACAGGCAATCGCTTTTTTTATTTGTTTGCGGTCTAGATTTCTTCAATTTCTTTTTGCGTGTGTTTATAAATTAACTCGAGGGCCGTACCAAATGGTCTCGCGGGCCGTATACGGCCCGGAGGCCGGAGGTTCCCCACCCCTGTCCTAACCTATCAGGCTCTCCTATCCTCTTTCTCTGCTTCGATCTCTCAGGCAAAAAGCACTTTCTTTCAAGATAAGATCCAATCTTCCTATTCCAATCCCAAAAAACTATTTTCCATCTTCTCCACCCTCTTGGACCCCCCCAAAGCCCTTTCCCCCTCCTCCCTTCTGTCAAGCGACTTTGTTAACCACTTTGAAAAAAAGGTTGATGATACCGCTGGGTCACCAGACCCTCCTTTCACCCACACACTGACCTCCTTTTCCCCTCTCTCTCCAAGTGAGGTTCTTACCCTCATTACCTCTGCTCGTCCTACCACCTGTCCTCTGGACCCTATCCCTTCAAACCTCCTTCAAACTATCGCTCCTGATATTCTACAATTTCTCACCCATTTCATCAACACTTCTCTAACTTCTGGTCACTTTCCAAACAGTCTCAAGGAGGCAAGAGTAAACCCTCTCCTAAAGAAACCCACTCTCAACCCGTCTGATGTTATAAACTACAGGCCTGTCTCTCTCCTCCCGTTCCTGTCTAAAACACTTGAACGCGCTGTCTTTAAACAACTCTCCTGTTATCTCCATCAGAACAACCTTCTGGATCCGCACCAGTCTGGTTTCAAGGCAGGTCACTCCACAGAAACTGCCCTCCTTGCTGTCACTGAGGAACTGCACACGGCTAAAGAAGCTTCCCTCTTCTCTGTCATCATCCTTTTGGACCGGTCTGCTGCATTCAACACGGTGAACCATCAGATCCTCCTTCGCACTCTCCAAGAACTTGGAGTTTCAGGCTCTGCACTTTCCCTCATCACCTCATACCTCAAAAATCGTACCTACAGGGTTACTTGGAGAGAGTAGTAGTAATGATACCGCTTTCGTCTCATTAGTATGCATAAAAAGTGACAGGTGGACACGCCCCCAATTATGCAAACGAGCTAAGTCCCGCCTCCCATTGTTCGCGATCCTTTGATGTGAGGGTGAGGGGTCATCACCCCCTAGGGGTGAAATGCCCCCCTGTGTAGCGCCTTTGTTCGAGATCCTTTTGATGTGTGTTATGTGAAAAGCCCCCGGGCTAGCGCCTTTGTTGTCTAATTATTTGATGTGTTGATTAAGTCTCTTTGAAGCTGTATTGTATGGCCCCCCTCAGAGCCCTTTTGTTGTCTAATCTAATTATGACGTCTAATCTAATTAGCCTTTGGTGTTTGCCCTTTGATGTGAAGTGTTATAACAGGCTGGTGTGACTTCACACTGGTGTGCTATAAACCTTTTATGTTAATCTAGGTGTCTCTTTGAAGTTATGTGTGAGACTGTCTACCCAGCCCCCCCTCCCAGCCTCTCCCCCTTTTCTACCCCTTCAGGGGCTATGACGCAACAAATAGTGGGGGGTGGAATTAGGTAGAAATACGCTCAAACGAAATAACAAGACAGCAATTCCATTTTACCCCCGTCACCTTTTCAAAAAAGAAAAATGGCAAGAGACGCCTCGAATGGGGGTTAATCAGCCTGTGACAACTTACATCCATCCGTCCGTAGCGTCAGTCAAGAAACGAATGCAGCAGCAGTGCGGGGGTCAGACGCCTACAGTCTGTGCACAAACTTATCTCGTGCCCTCTTTTGGTCATGCGCGCGTTCATGTGTGTTGGAGGAGGGGCTCTGTGAGGAAGTGGCAGATTTTCCCCCGGTTTGACTGCAAAAGCCTCTCACTTTCTACAAATGATCTAACCCTTACCTTTAAGAACAATTCACACACACACACACACACACACACACACACACACACACACACACACACACACACACCACACACACACACACACACACACACACACACACACACACACACACACACCACACACCACACACACACACGTTGGAGCCCCCCCTTGATGTGGAATGTTGAGATAAGCCTGGGGTGTAAATGACTATGTTAATTAACACACTCTCTGTGAGATGAGAAGAGAGGGATGAAGTTAGTTTTTAAAAACAGAAATAAGCTCAAATTAAATAAAAACAGCCATTAATTTTCACTCACATTTAAAAACGTTATTGTCCTCTCTATATTTGATTCAGGGTTTGTTTTAAATGATGTGTGCTGGCTAAGGATGTTTCTTTTCAAGTTTTTGTGAAACTGTTAACTACAAGAAGTATCTGTTTGCAAAGAGGTTATTTTCAAAAGATCTTATTTAGGTTTTAATAGTGATACCTAAGGATATTCTCTTTTAGTATATGGATTTGTGAACTAATGTGTAATTACTTTTATTAACTATAAGAAAAGTCTCTCTGAAGACGGAAATAATAAAACAATTTAAAAACATGATATTGTCTTTTTTAATCATTATTTTACACCACTGTAAGGAACCCCAATATGAGGTGGTAATATTATAATTCTGCTGTATCCATAAAAGAGAAGTTTTCTTAAAATGTGTTTCCTATTCCATTTCACTTCATGACGGCTCCAGGGTGCTGATCAGGACAAAAGAAAAGCTGTATGAAGACGCGTAGCTAATTACCTGGATAAAAGGACTCATCGATTGGTCAGTTTTTTTTAGGGGTTGACAAGGCACTGTTATTTGGTATTTTATAAGGCGACAAGATCTCTACAGTTTGAAGAAACTAGAGGATGAATTATCCTACCATTCCAGCTCTGCGCTTTATTGACCTGGACGCCATCACAAAACAATGTGGTAAGTACTTATCTTATAATATCATGCAATTATTAATTGTTGTTTATATATATATATGTGGATAGTATATTATTAGATACTTAAAAAATATTATGTTTTTCTGTTTGCAGTAGAGATCCTGTGTGCTGAAAACCCTAATGTGTGGGGTCATAGGATTATTGAAATACTAGGTGAGTTTCTTTTTTACTTCTTTTTAACATGTTTTTAATTAGAAAAGTATAGAGTAATATGGTGTAGATCAGGGGTGCCCAACCAGTCGATCGCGATCGACCGGTCGATCGCGGGGAGATTCCCAGTCGATCGCGAGATGTGTCTAAAAATAGAACAACAATATTCTGTTTTATCGTTAATGTCCAATATCATAATCTTCCCGTAACAGAATAATGCACTTGAACGCACCAAAGCTTTGTGATTGGCCGGCGTGACCCCATGTGTGGGGGCGTGGCTGATGGGCAGTGGGCACTATTTCGCTGACGTTGTCCGTGTCAACAGGAGTGACAGTCCACACACACATTTATGGCAGAAGCAAAAAAGCCCAAAATATATCATTTTCACTCCGAGTGGGAGGATGATTATTTTTGTATCTATTCCAATTCAAAGTCCATCTGTCTCATCTGCAATGCGAGCGTGGCTTTATCGAAGAAGGGTCATTTAGGAGCGGCATTTCAAAACAGTGCACAAACGCTACGAGACGGAATTCCCTCCAAATTCTGCCCTACGCTCCCAAAAGGGGAGGGGCCTGAAGTGACAGCTAAATGCACAGCAGTCCATTTTCACCAGGCTCAACAACAAGAGCAAGCTGCTACCAGAGCATCTTATCGTGTCAGTCACGTTCTTGCGAAACACATGAAGTCTTTCAAAGACGGCGAAGTTGTGAAAAGAAGCATTCCCTGGAGGCTGCCGACGCGCTTTTTGGGGGACAGTAAAATAACAGTAGCATTTCAACAGGTTTTTGATATAATAAAAACTCAAGTTGGATACCGTTTGTTTGAACTTATTCATTATAATTATTGTACAAAATGGTATAAAGAATGCAAACTTAAATTGATTATAGTCTATTATCAATTCAGGTTAAGAAACTAGTGTTGCTTGCATCCTATTTTAAAGGCATTTATTTTTATACTCTACTAAAATGCAACAAAAAAAGGGTTTGATTCTATTAATTTTGTCTTTTTTATTGCACTTTGGCAGCAGATTCCTGAGTAGCTTCAGATCTGAGTTGTCTTATTAGTAAGCCTAATTTTAATGGCAACGAAAGGGTTCAGACTCTTTTCTTTTTTTCCTGTGTCATGTGGCAGCACTTTTCAATGTTTCTTGAAAACATTACCCACTGTAGTGACGTGTGAATAAACTCCAACTCTGTACCAACAACACTGTTTTGTAACTTCAGTTAAATACTTGTATGTGTGTAGATTAGAAAGAGTTAAGATAAAGGATCTGCAGTATTTTATGGAGTATTAATCATACAAAGGTCATTTTTATACAAGTAGAAGTGTGTATTTACCTGGTAGGCTGTAAGTAATGGCTACGTCTCTCTATTTGGACTGGTAGATCTCGGCAGACTGGCAACTTTAAAAGTAGCTCTTGGTTCAAAAAAGGTTGGGCACCCCTGGTGTAGATTATAATCAAATCTTTCTGTGTGTCTCAGCTCAGGATACTCTGAGTCAGATAAGGCCATGCACTATTAGTGGAAATAATCTGCTTTGTACTTGGAGCCTACCTTAATTCACCCCCTGTGGAAAGTGAGTATATTTAAACTAATTGTATTTTATTTTGAAATCAAATATGTTTTTTATGTGCAAAGTATCCCAGAATAACGTTTTTTTTTTTACTCTTTTGTTAAAAAAGGTGGCGAAGTCTACAACACTGACAGAGGCTCTGTGTATCAAAACTTTCCCCCTGTGGAGTTCACACACAATCTACCATTTGAAGTAACAGACCCCCTGAGGACAGCCGTCGCCCTCCCCCGGGACACAGATAACCAGGCATACACCCCCCTTTTCAACGCCCCCCTGCAACCGCTGGAGTCTGAAACCTTCCTGCAAATTCCACCAGAACTGCAGGCCGATTTTGACACTTACAGTGCCTATCTGGATGACTTTGAGTTACAACCAGACATGCTCATATCGAGTTAGACAGACTCAGCCCCTAGTCCTCAGGTCGAGGGTGAACCATCAGCACAGACTCTGCGTGAGATTCAGGCCGATATATCACTCCTCACAGATCCCCTCCTGACGGGATATCACCCCGGTAAATGAGTTTTATGGTTATTTTACAAGATGTTTGATAAAGGAATAGTCGTTAAATGTATAACCATGTGTTTTTCAAATACTTATCCTTCTTTTTCTCTGTCTTTTTTCTGTATAGATCAGTCAAGCTATTACCAGGTGGACCCCCACTGCTGTTATTGCCAACTTTATGGACACACCCACTGAATAAGCTGGAGGGTCTCATGTAAATTGATGCCGATGTAACCGACCGGTATGTTTCTTCAGCTGTGACAAATGTATTTCTGATTTGGTTTCATAAACGGTCAAACATGGATGATTTAGCAGATAGAGAATTTTATTTTCTTCAGTCTATAAACGACATAAATGAACTAAGCAGTGATGAGGAATTCGTGTATGGAGATATGTCATTTCCTCAGTGTTCAGACAATATCAATGAGTTAAACGACGAAGAACCTACCACCTCATCACAAACAAAATCAAGCCATCCCACAACCTTAGATAGCGCTTTGGAATGGGTATTAGCATACTATCAAAACTCTGACACTTACCCCGGTCTCGGGCTTTTAAATCAGCTCGCAGACGGAGTAAGCCATCTGAATGGAGTAAATAGCATAGCTTCAACCATTGCGGAATCACCAGTTTCCATCGTGCAGAATGGTGGATACGTTAGTGACTCAGAATCACCAGTTTTCTCCATGCAAAGTGGTGGACATGTTGATCAGAATGACACCCCGAATGCTTCAGAATCACCACCCCCCCTCGTTCCAACATGGAGGGGGGGCTAACCGAAATGCCACACCAAGTGTTTTGTCTCGACCTGTATTCAATAACACAGAACTGCGTCAGTCTCTAGTCCTACCCCCTCCTAATAATGACGAAGCAGACTTTACATCCTATTATGGGGTTCTGATGAACAATGTACAGGATATGGTAAATGATGCTTTTTCACGGGCAGATAGGGAAGATATTGTTCAGGTTGAGCTCCGGGGTGAGCAGCTACAGGCTAATGTGTCAGCCATTTTGAATGCTAATGATGATAATCTAGCTGATTTTGAGGAGGCCCTGTTCAATGCTGTACAGTCACATTTGGAGGTAATTGCAGACAGTAACCTCGAGTTAGTGGTGCAAATTGTACAATCTGGTGGTGGTGGTGCTAAAATATTGGCTGGTAAAATGTTAGACAATGAGATTGTTAAAAAGAAGAGGCGTTTTCTGTACGTGGTACAGAATCCGTCCAACCAGCTATGTTTTGCTATTAATTTAGCACTGTTGTTGCATGACAACCTCACTGATAAAGAAGGTTTTGAACGTGGTAAAGATATTCAGAGGAGGGTGGGTTTGACAGATCAGACAGCTGTGACATTCAACGACATTGTTAAATTCGAAGAGAGTTTAAAATGCACGATTGTGGTATTTTACAGAGGCGATGAAGATCGTACTCACTGTAAATTCCAGACAGAGGGTCCCAAACGAGACAAAACTGTGTTTTGTTTCTCTTCAAAAACCACTACTATGGGATTAAAAACTTGAAGGGGTTTTTAGGCTCTCCATATGTCTGTGAACATTGCTACACAGGCTACAGCTCTCAATGGCATCATTCCTGTACTGGTCATTGTTATGTCTGTCTTGACCCCTCATGTACTCTGGACGAGTTTAAACCCATCTTTTGTAAAGACTGTAACAAAACGTGTCGTACGGCTGGCTGTCACTCTCGACATAAAAAACAGACACAAAGATCATCAGACATTGCCAGTATCTGCGATTTACACAAAAAGTGTGTAGATTGTCAACTTTCCTACTACACTCCCAAGAGTAGTGCAGATAAAACACACAAGTGTGCGGTGAAAAAATGTAAGACATGCAAGGAAAAATTACCCTCTGCTTCTACAGCCGATGGTGAAAAACATCTGTGTTACATCAGAGTGTTGCCCAAAGAGACAGAACACAATGACAACATTGTGTTTTATGATTTTGAAACCATGGCTGGGGCAGATGGTGTACATGCCCCCTTCCTGGTGTGCACAAAAACCCTTGCGGGTGAAATTTGGGTCTCGGAGGGCACCGACTGTGCACTGCAGTTTCTGACACACTTTAGGCGTCCAAAGTTCAAAAATGCAACCTTCATCGCTCACAATGCTAAGGGTTTTGACAGCTATCTCATTATCAATGCAATGTTAGAACAAGGATTAAAACCCTCTTTGATAATGCAGAGAAGTAAAGTGATTTATTTTACTGACCAGGATTTCGGACAAAAGTACATAGACTCACTGTCTCATCTCTCTATGCGTTTAGCAGCAATGCCAAAAGCTTTGGGATTTGAAGATAAAATCAAGGGATACTTCCCACACAGTTTCAGCTCTAAGGCTAATCTGAGTTATATCAGACCTTACCCCCCAGCATACTGTTATGGGATTGAACGCATGACAACTGATGAAAAAAGTGACTATTTCACCTGGTATGAGACGGTACGCACGGGTACTTTTGATTTTCAAAAGCAGGCACGGCTTTACTGTAAAAACGATGTGGACATTCTTGCCCAGGGAGCCACTTTATTTCGGAAAGGGTTTCTCGCAGAGACAGGAGTTGATCCTTTTAGTCGTGCGACCATAGCTTCTGCGTGTATGAAAGTTTTTACCACCAACTTTCTACCACCCAAAACCCTGGCAATACCACCACCCGACGACTACCGCTATGAAAACAATACGTACTCGGACGCAGGTGTTCAATGGCTAGAGTGGATAGCCCAAACAGAAGGTGTATTTATTCAACATGCGTTGAACGAAGGAGAAAAACGAGTGGGACGTTTTGTCGTGGATGGTTTTGCCGAAGTAGCCGGGGGCAAGATTGTCTAGGAATTTCTTGGTTGCTTCTATCACGGGTGTCCATCTTGCTACAAGGGCCATGAGAAAAACCCCTTGACAGGTGGCACATTTGAGCAGCTCCATGCTGCTAGTGAGGAAAAGCTGCATGAGCTACAGTCTGTTCACGGGGCCAAAGTGATCGTTATGCGTGAGCATACATGGGTTGAGATGAAAAAATCCAACCAAGATTTACAGGCTTTCCTCAGGGAATACAAAGCGCCAGAACCATTGACCCCCCCCGCGATGCTCTATACGGAGGGAGGACATGTGCTGTAAAGCTGAGGCACACGACAGCGGCAGATGAATTGGTTCATTATTGTGATTTCACTTCACTCTACCCTTTTGTAAACTGTACAGGCCTATATCCCCTTGGACACCCCCAGCTCATATTCCGAGATTTCAAAGACCCTCGCAGTTATTTTGGGTTAATCAGAGCCACAGTAGACCCTCCCAGGGGTCTTTACTTTCCTGTCCTGCCCTACCGAACTGCGGGGGGTAAGCTAGTGTTCACCCTATGAATGCGCTGAGCTTAACAACCAACAGGGGCCCTGCATGCACAGCAAAGAGGAAAGAGCATTAACAGGAGTTTGGGTGACCACAGAATTCACCAAAGCCCTGGACATGGGATACAAGATGACTCAGATCACAGAGGTGTGGCATTTTGAGAATAAAAGTGACAGCATTTTTGTAGACTATATACACACATTTTTGAAGGGCAAACAAGAAGCATCAGGTTATCCTTCAGAGGCCACAGATGATGAGAGCAGACAAAAGTATGTGGCAGACTATCATGCTAAGCAGGGTATCTTGCTGGATGCAGATAAAATAAAATAAAATCCAGCCAAAAGACAAGTGGCAAAACTATGTCTCAACAGTTTCTGGGGTAAATTTGCTCAGAGAAACAACCTGACTCAGACTAAGATTGTGACCAAAACAGAAGAATTTCTTAACCTCTTGTTTTCAGCTAAACATAAGGTTAAGTATTTCTCATTCCTCAACGACAGAACGGCTCTTGTTCAGTGGTGCTACGGTGAAAAATGCTATTCTCCTCCCAACAAGGTAGATAACATATTCGTTGCAGCATTTACCACTGCGTATGCCAGGCTGAAACTGTACAGTGAATTGGATAAATTACAGCACAGAGTCTTCTACTACGACACAGACAGTATCATCTATGTGACGAGACCGGGTGAGACTCCACTGCCCATGGGGGTTTATCTGGGGGATCTGATAGACGAACCGGGGGGCGACACAATTGCAGAGTTTGTTTCAGCAGGCCCTAAAAGTTATGCCTATCAGACCAAAAATAAAAAAAGGTGGTGATGCGTGTGAAAGGGATTACACAAACGCACGAATGTTGTGAACGAGTGAACTTTGACAGTCTGACAGATCTGGTGGAAGGCTACGTTCAAAACTCTGAGAGGGGGAGGTGTCTTCAGGCCCAGCAACACAACATTGTACGGAATAAAGAGGGTTTCGTTTTGAGAAATGTGTCATTCACCAAAAAGTTACGAGTTGTGTTTGATAAGAGACGTCTGCTAGACGGAGGAAATACTTTGCCTTTTGGGTATTGAGACAAACATGTTTTCACCCCGTCAAATTGATTTTGAGCCCCGACTACGAGTTCCTTTTTCTTGTTTAGTCGTGGGCCCCAGCGGGTGCGGAAACACTTTTTTTGTCAAGAATGTATTGCAAAATTGTATTCATGTAATGCAGGGGTGGGGAACCTCCGGCCCCCGGGCCGTATACGGCCCGCGAGACAATTTGATACGGCCCTCGAGATAACTCACGCAAAAAAGAAAAAAAAATAAGAAATCTAGACCGCAAAATAATTAAACAAGCGAGTGCCTGTTTTTCCTGGCCAAGGTCAGGGTCCTTGAACACAACACGAGCCTAACGTGTCATCACGTGGTATATGTCTCGTCCGACAGGGGTTTAGAGCTGCCGGAGAGCAGAGCACCAGAACGCCGCTCCGGGCCGGGACATCACAAATGTCAGTACCCATAAGGAGCCGTACACATGCCGCAGTTTTGCGTGGCTGTGTCTTCAGTTGTAAGCCCAGTGGTGATCTGTTCATCTGTCATACTGATCATATAGTCAATAACTGTTGTTATTAGCATCTGGTTAGCTAGCTATGCTAACGAATATAAGAAGCTTTTTCTCCAACCAGTGAGGTAAAGGCACATCTTTATATGATCATTATAGTTATACAAAAAATAAGAGAATACAGTAAACAGGTATAAAATAATATGACAGTAAAAAAAAGTTGTTATTAATAAACAAGAATACAGTTTGAAAGGGGAGTGATTTGTAAAATATCCATAAAGAAAAAGGAAATCTGCTTACAGTTCTGTTTCATATGGGTGTTGAGAGATGTATCCATAGATCTCTTAATGTTGCTCTCAAAGTGCACCAGATTGATGCTTTTCACTTCCCCCCCACTTAAATCA